CCTGCAAGCTCTGCCTGTTGCCCTCCCAAACCACACCTGCTGTGAGTTTGTGCACAAAGAGAAAACCATTTTTAAGCTCAGATCAGAGAGATTGGAGATAAACCGGAAATCCCCTTGTAGCATCTACAGTGACATGAGTGGCACTGGAAGAAAAAGCTTGCTAGGCTGGGGTTTGTAGGAGTGCTTGCACTCGCTTGCTTTGGTGGCATTTTTGTGTTGGGAACTGTGGCAAACACACAGGAGAACCAGACCGATAGAGGCCACTGGCTTTGCTTAGGACAGTATTTGCATGCCATCGTTCAACTCCCAGCTTTTATGCACAAGCCTAGGAAGCAAGGGGGCAGGAGGCAGAAACTGCATCCATTGGCATTTCTGTTACTATCAAGATCATGGATGTTGCCATAAGGGGGGGAAGCAAGCTATGCATTTCTGTTTCCTTTTCACCTGAAGTCAAACTACCTGCTCTCAGAACACCTGGCAATGATACTGCTGAGAGGTGACTACATCTCATGAATGAGACGAGGCCAGTGAAGACCTTACACCCCTTCAACAACACTTGCACGTGACGGCGGGGGAGTGGGGAAGGACCGCGAGATAGGACTACGGCCCAGACAGGTCATACCTCCTTATTTACCTCAATCAGGCTGGGGTGCCTGGCACCTTCTAGATGTATTGAACTACAACTCCCATCATTCTTGACCACTGACCATTCTGGCTTGAGCGGATGGGAGCAGAAGACCAACAACAACTAGAGAACCACAGAATTTTCACCGCCAACCTTGAGAGAGATACAATGTGGATTTGAAGGCATCTTCAGTCTAATTCAGTGTTTCCCAAATTTCTACAATCTGAAGCACACAAGGTGAGAAAACGAGTCAGAGCTACAGGGTTGTATCCAAGACAGTAGACCCACTGAAAGGAGTGGGGCATGAATTAAACCCATGCTGGATTCAGTCCAAGCTGCCCAAAGCGATCCCAAGCTTTGCCAGAGCATGCTCTCATATAAAGCAGTGGATCAGGCCAAAGGAATGTGTCTAACGTCAGCCTCTGCTTACCCATAATGGCTAGACAGGTCATTGCAAGAACCCCAAAAGGAAGGAATGGAGACAGTAGCCTTCCCTTGCAGTTGTCCCTCCCAGCAGCTAGTAGACAGAGGTTAACAGCCCTTTAAAATGGAAGTTCCATTGCTCTTCAGAAGTCCATCAGTTTGTCTAATCCTTTGAACATCACCTAAGACACCGACTTCTGCCACATGTTCCAGCAGCAAAGTTAAGGATGTGCTATAGGAAGAAGTATGTTTCACGGCATGGCCCTACAGTTCTACTGTTCTGCACACAGAGTGGAAGAATGGCTCTGTATGATTTGCTCAAATGTAAGCTATCAGTGGGAGAAAATGGTTCATAATCCTTTCCAAATGCATTGTTCCTGGCCTAAGCCAATTGGCCCAGATTCCAAAATACTGGAGGGGGGGCAGGGCTCCAATCCTTTATTTAATGGCTTTGCTAGTAAATCTTCTGAAGGGATAGTCAAAAGAACTTAGTGTCTTTTCAGACAATGCCAAGCGGACAGAAGCCAGTCTTTCCAAGTTTTATTGTTTAATCAAATGCCTGCTTCTATTGATGGAACAATCATTAGATGCATCTCTAGCTGCTTCCAAACCTCCCTTCTCATCAACCAATTAGACTTCTTTCTAGACTCCTCGATAGGTTTTCAGATGTACCAAACCCCATGTTGTGGCTAAACTGTAGTGTGTGCATGGACAGAGTCACAGTTTTTTCCCTTGGGAACAATTCACTTGGAATTGCCACCACTTATTTTATCCTGTGCACAAAATTGCAAGCATCACTAATAGTGAATGCAGTTAGTAAATGCCCCTGGGACTGCAGCCAAAATGGGGCCACTGAAAAACCAAAGGGAGGCAGCAGAATGCTCAGGGAGCTTCAAGCTTTGCAGAAGGACCAAAAATGATTAGGGCAAAAATAAAACATAGCGGGCAACTCACTCCTACCAAGGAAAAAGCAAATATGAAGTCCAGTGAAGATTGGGAATACTCACAGAATGCTAAAACAAATGGGAAACAGAAGGGAGAGAGACAGAATGGAACATCCCGGAAGAACACAAGGATAGCTAGCACAACAGGAGCACTTTGCTCTGCAATGTTTTGTTTTAGGTCTCACTTGCGGATTAAAATTCCCACTCCACTAAGAAGCATGCAACATATGTACCGCCAGGGAGAAAATCTATCATTTTATCAACTGACTGTGAATAAAACACAGGGAAGGATGTTTGAAGGGGAATTCATTTGTATTATCCACAGAAACTATCTTTCTTCTTTGCTTGTACAGGCTTTATACCTTCTGCATTTTTTGGGTGGGGAAGCATTAACACGATTGCCATTAAAAAAAAAAAAAAACCTGGCCCCAGTTCTGTATCTTCAGCAGTTGTCTGGCACACAAGATTATACAGGTGAAGCTTTACCTGGCATGGAGACAAGCATGCAGGTAAAATTTCACTAGAATATCTGTGGGTCAAACTTCTATTGAGAAGCAAAAAGTTGAAAACAATACTAGCTTTCAACCATCTTTTGTCCCTTGTTTCATTTGTATTTTAAGGGATTATCGGGCAGCATTTTCCCAAGAAGAAAAAGGCAAGCAGGGTCAAGTCTAAACTGAAAAGCTGGCTAAGCTAAACAGGGAGAGATGGAGAATATGTGTTTTATGTTTTATATTCTGGTCAGTCAGTTTGAACAAGGGGGCAAAGAGAAATGAATCCTGCCCCCATCAGGTTTCCCAGCTATTGTTTCAACCTTCTTTAGGGTGGATCTCATGGAGAAATTATTTCAGGGGGTGCATGGTGGAAGCCTAAGTATCCACCCGATTGTATGATCCTAAGCAGTAAGCCCTTTATACACCCATCGACTGGTGGCAATGGCAGAGAAAACCAGGTGCTTTCAACAGCGACTCATCCGTGTGAGTCCAGGAAGGTATCTCTGTGGCAAAACCAGAGAGACCGAGCCTGCAATGCCCAGGAGCAGACGCCACCAAACTCAGCGCAATTTGCTTCTGCATAAATATGCGTAAGCTCAGGCGGTGACAAGCTTATTGCGACATAACTTACGCGTCCGTAGGCCAGAACTCACTTGCCTGGCTGCGTCCAGGGATGTCATCCGTTCCCCTCAAACGGACGCAGCACCTCCAACACGGCTTCATCCAAGCCAGGTTTGTAAGAACGTGCTCCAGCACCACTAGCCTTGGGAGGAGTCAAAGGAGGCTCTGAACATGTACAGAACGCACTTTTTCCTTTGACCCACCGCCAGCGTCCGAGTGACCGCTGGGAAGGCTGCACTCCGGGGCTGGAGGGCGTTTCCCGCCCTGCTTTCCGGGCAGCATTTTGGCACCCACGGGATCGCCTCCCTGCTCCGGCTCAGAGGGAAGAAAAGTGGCCCCTGCCCAAATTCTTGCCCTGCAGCTATTAAAAAGGGACACTGCTTGACCTCTTGTGCAGCTGGTCAATAAGCCTATTTATAAAAATGAAAGAAAATCCATTTTTTGCCTTCTGGGAGGACCAAACCCCACTGCTATCTTCTGTCGCTGAGTTCCTTCAGTTGCAGAAGCAGCCCCAAACCCCTCACCCCGCCGCCAAAATTAGGTAGCCTCCACCCTACCCTAGGAGAAAAAGCCAAACCTGCATCAACCATCTGGGTGTGACACGAGCCCCCCCCCCCCCGCATCGCGGTCACCAATCGCTGGACACGGTTTTCAGAAAAATGTTTTGAATAGACGGCAGGCTGCGGCTGCAATCCTGGCGTAGACCATTTACTTCGGAGTAAGCCTCACTGAACTTGGGGGCGCTTGCTTCTGATAAGGTACGGCTCGGATCGCACAGTGAAACTGATGTCCCTACTGAGCTTCATGTGGAGTCCCTGGATATTGCCGTCTCTCTCTCCTCTACGTTATTCCTACTTCTCCCTCCCTTCCACCGTCTCTGATTGTCTCTTTCCCATGTCCAGGGGTTAAACAGAACAACAAAGGAGGAAAAAACGCAGAGACTGATCTCCGTGCTCCAGTACTGCAGCCACGGTCCCGAGGGACCAATGCACAAAAATGTACAACTCCTCCTGTCCCACCTTCCCCACCCGCGCCCCCAGATCCATAGATAAGTCGCTTGGCCGCAATGGGCGTCCGTTGAGGAGGAAGGGAAAGAGACGCCGCATGCAGACGACATGCAAGCATGCAGACTGCTCGGCCGTCGCTTGCAGCGGCCTTTGGCCCGAGTTTCCAAGGGTGGGTCTCTCCGGCGAGCTTGCAAAAAGGGGACTCGGCTCTTCGTTAGGGCTCGATGCTGCATAGGGGAGATTCGAAGGATTTTTTGAAACTCGCCAGACCCCTCCTTTGGAAACTCAGAAAGGGGTTTCTATTATCTAAATAAATCAGTAAGTAAACGACCTGGCTGCCAAAACTCCACCGAGTCAGCTTTTATTCTCCAGATCCAATCTCTTTTCACCCGGCCGTTAAAATCGCAAAACCAGAACACCGCAACGCTTTTGCTCAGCGCCGCTGTGCAAACCCGGTGGGGGGCAGGTGCCGGCCCGCCCACCCTGGTTTCCCGCTCTGAATGCGCCATGGAGCCAGCCCTCCCCCCGGGCCGGGGCCGGGCCGCGCAGCGCTACACTGTGCAACTTCTCGCTGCCGCTCCCGGCAACCGCTGACCCCGCCGCGCCACCTGCACGGGCGGCCGCTGCCAAATCCCTTCCTTCGCTCCTGCCTCCTTCCGCGCCATGCACGCTGCCCGCATTTTGCAAAGGAACAATTGTTGCAGGCTGCTGGTCAGACGGCGGCAGCTCTTAGACGCACATGCTTCTGCGGTGCAACGCACTGCAACAGCCGCTCCTGTCTCCTTCCCCCCCCCGCCACTCCTCCCCAAGGTTGGACTAGACGCTACCGGGGGTCCTCTTTTTGCTAACATGATTAGCACCCTCGATCAGCTCCATGCAGACTCACGTCTCGGAAACGGTTCCAGTGTTTGATCTTGCCGCTGTACTGGGAAATGGAAGACAGCCATTGCTCGTCCTCCATAAAATTGCCGGGGTTTTCGCCTTCTTTCCCCCCTTTGCCGTCCCCTTCCGCCAAAACGATGGCCAGCAGCAGCGGCACCAGGCAACTGCCTGGGGCTCTCATCTTTGGCGCGGCTCTTTGCTCGCCTGCTCGACAGCGATGGTTTGTCCTCTTCTCCCCTCTCTGACTTGGGGAAAAGAGCGAGAAGAAGAGAGATGGAGAGATGCCTGGATCCCCGCTGAAATGTGACCCGATTAGGAGATGTACTTCTCTGAAACCCAGAGCTGGAAGCACCGAGAGGATTACGGAGTCTGCGCCAAAAGAGGCTGGCTTAAGTCACTGGAGCATCAGCATCACGTTTGACATCATCATACCTGTTAAAAAGAAACCCACCCCCGGCGAAAGGGGGTAAGTAGGAAAAAAAGGTACGGGCTAAGGGCACGCCGATCTCTTTGGTCCTTGCTTCCTAATTTGCAATGGCCATGAATTCCTCCCGCTTGATAGACAAGTAGGGTTGTGCACTGTGTCTATAGCAGAATAAAATACGGTGGGGATCTCGATTCCTTTTCTTTCTTTTATGCGGCCGCTCCTATCTCCACTGTGCAGCAACACTAGAGATGGTCTGTTAAGCAGGTTGTGCCCAGGAGATAAGGATCACAGAACAGGTGGAAGTTTTCAGGCTGCACAGAACTCTTGTAGTTGGGAAGAACGGTTTCCAGACCAGTAACTAGTTTTAACTACAGGACACATTAGCTCAGGGGCAGTTCCTTTATTAAACACAGGCCTGCTTGGCCTTGTCCCGGAATCTACACTCAACAGTATGTCCAATGACAAGGTTACCTGTATGATACATTCGTCTGCACATCCCATCTTAATTGCACAGCTAGACATAAAATATGTGAAGTGCGCTTCCTCTGCTAGAGAGAGCCAAGTAGGTTAAAGAAGGGCCATCCCTTCTTGACATGCAGTACCCCACTCACATCAGATAGAAGGGGTGTTCCTCTCCATTTTTCCCATAAGAATTTGATCAACAGGAGATGAGACTATTGTGATGTCTTTAGCAAAGATGGATTTTTTTTTAAAGGTGAAATAGTGTTTCAGGCCCCACTGGCTTTCACTCAAGTTTCTGTGCTTGAACTAAACTAAATCTTAACTAAACTAAAAAACTAAACTAAAACTAAACAACTAAAATCAGCTGAATTGGGTACCATGTTAATTGTTCATATGCCATTGATTCTTGACCAAGCAAGGGCATGGCACAGTTTACAGTGGGATTAATAGTTGATGTCAAAATATTATCAGAATCTGTTGGGTTTGGCATTACAGGATTCCACCAGTTAAACTGGGGAACAGATGCGGCAGGGCATGATCCAAAGAAGCACAATAATTGTGCATCTGTTATTTCAGTGGGAGAGATGGGCTCAACTCAGTTGATGGCAATTTAAAGTTTTTAACTGAGGATGAATTATGCGAAAGAATTGACCCACTAAATCAAGTCAACTTGTGGCACTCCAGGGACTTTGGCCTACAACTCCCATCAATCCCTGCCAACATAGCCAATAGTCTGGGATGATGGAAGTTGTATACCTAGCTATCTGATGGGATATAAATTGCCCATTCTTGCTGCACATTCCAAATGACTAAATTCTGTTGATCAGAATCTGGCAGCTCAAACAATTGTGTTAAGTCACCCAATTCTTCCCCTTCTGCGATGATCTTATTTTACATTTAATTCTACTGTTTAATGCAGGACTTACTGGTCTCAGGCTATAGGCCCACAGTCTGAATTTTGCAAGAAATAATAGACTATCAAATTTGGCTCCTTGCATGCCAGGATTTTATAGTCTAGCTTGTCTCATGTTTCAGTTCTGTGTAAACTTACCTAGGAGTAAACTCTCCTGAATGGCAGTATAGGGGGCTTATTTCCCAGTAAACATGCATAAAATTGCCCTGCCTATGTAAGGAAAAATCAAAATGTCAATTGTATAATGTCAGGCATGCTCATGATAGACTATCTCCAGTCGATGCTACCAAGCTCATCTCCTTCAGATAGATAATGGTAGAAGATAATGGTAGAAGATAATGACATCCTTAGACCTCACCTCCAAACCCATAACCAAACATCTGTTATCTTTAAGTAATGTAGGAGGAAAAGAACTAGGCTTTCTCTTTTCTGAACGTTTAAAACCAGTGCAGTGCAGTCTAGTGGTTTTGAGCACGGGGCTGGGACACAAGCGATCTGGGTTCTAGTCCCTGCTCAGCTATGGCGTCAACTGGTGACTTTAAGTCATTTACAGACTCTCAGTCCAACCTGCCTCACAAGGTTGTTCTTGTAGGGATAAGATTGAGAGGAGGGGGAGAATAGTGTAAGCCCCCCCCCCCACCGTGTTCCTTGAAAGGAAAAAAAAAAGGGCAGCATATAAATATAATAAATAAAACTTCCTCGAGGAAGAACACATGAATTAGCCCCACACCCATCCCTTCCCATGGCCAGTCATTTTTTACCAATACGCTCAAGGAAGCAGTGTTTATATTTAGTTAATAGATGATGAGAATGGGAGGCAGATGGAGAACTGAAAGCCCTTTCTAGAGTTGGTGCATTTTTTCCCATGGTCTTGACCTGCCAGTGGCCATCTGCTAGGTCTTTTCAGTGTGCAAGTTAAACACCATATATTTAGTCTAGCAGTGGACCATCCTCCTCATGTTTGAGTTGGGTCATTGATAGGCCTTTGTCCCAAATCTAATTTCCTCTGCTCAGATCCATTACCCTGAGACCTAAGTATCCAATGGTGCTGGTGGAAAGGCGTTTTTTCTCCGCTTGAGTGCAATTTGGGGGCAATTTTTAGGGGATGAGATGCAGCTGGGATGGAAAGGGTTGGTCATCTTCTCCCTACAAACCGCAGTGCCGTGCTGCCAATATCTTTCCATGACAATTAACTTGAGGGGGAAATTCTTTCTGCTGGCACTAATGGGAAGTTCATTCTAAGCTAGGGTGCCAGGCGGAGCATGGGGGGAGGGCAGTCACAGTCCCTGTAAACTGCTCCCCCAGCAAAAAAGCTTCTCTAGATGGCAATTATAGGGAGGTTGGTTGGTTCATTTTGCAGCGGAGGCAACAGCAAGCTTGGGTCCCATTGTTTTAAAGTCCTTCCGGAGCAATACCCATAGTTCGTAGTGTCTTGGGTTGAGCTATCATGGTGGGAAGGAAGGTCATCCTTTAGGGGAGAGATCATAACATAATGCTTTGCATACAGGAGTTTTCAGGTTCATCTCTGTACCTCTCCATCTCTGGTTAGGAAAAAGAAAGACAGGATGAGACAGATGGGGCATGGTGTGAATCGGCCTCTGTTTTGCTCCAGAGAAGAAATGTTGCCCCAACGAGTAAGCAGCAATAGATTAGAAGGACAGTGATATGAGCTGATATAACATGTCTTCCTGTGTTCCAGACAAAATACTAGCCCAAATCTAACATGTTATGCAAAACAAGGGACATACTCCTTCCCATAACTAACCTATGCAATTAGTAAATGAGCAAAGAATTAGGACCTTAGTGGATTCAACCTTGGTTGACCAATTTATGAATAAACCACATGTGGCTATAAGTTTGCAGACAATGTGTGTGTGGAGCTTAGATTCATTACAGGAATGCCTCAGCCATCTGCTCCTTTGGCAAAAGAAGCTTGATTTAAGCATCATGTGATATACCTTGAGCAGAACAACTGGCTTGGTTTAAGATATTGCTATTTACACAAAGTATCTTACAGAGGAAACTGATTAACATTTTAAATGGATCTGAAGCTTATGACAGACACAGTCTTTTGACATACTTTAGAAAATATGCAGATGAAAAATGAGAAAGGATGAGTTTTCTTTCAAACCCTAGCAATGCAGTGATATGAACTGAAATATTTCATACCACCCATTGCAATAGTTTATACAAGAAATGTTATTATTCAAGGCAGGAGGCAGAGTGGGTATATGCTCAGTAGGTTTTCTTTGGTAGGTTTTTTGGGGGAAAGGCTGCTGTCATGCATTTATTAGAGAATAAATGCACATAGTGTGATGCTAATAGGCCTCTTTCAAACTAATGAATAATAAATAAATAGGATTTAATTCATTGGCACTTTCTTCAAAGTAATTATGCAAAAAATCATGTGATGGGTGGAGGCATCTCCAAGTATCCTAAAGATCCAGTGTGATGTAGCTGTTAAGAGTGCTGGGTTCAAATCCTCACTCAGCCATGCAGTTTATCAGGTGAGTTTGGGTTAGTCATTCCCTCTGATCAACCTCACAGGGTTATTTTGAGGATAGAACATTTGTCACCTAGAGCTGCTTGGAGCAAAGGGAAATATAAACGTAATAAATTTTATTTTTCTGCAACGCATGTGTTTTCTGCCATGATTACAGTCAAGGACCATTTGCTTAATGAATGCAAGAAACTGCCTTGAAAGCCTGAGCGTTGTTTTTGTATCTGGAAACTCAGCTGCAGTAAGTCACTTTTTTACCATTTGCCAATCATATTTGTACTATCCTGTGAGATTACAGAGGCTTGATCTACTAAAAGCCACATATAATCTGATCAAACACAGCCCATCCCAAACTGCTTCATCCATCTTATTTATTTTGAGTATGCAGATGGCACATCATGCAACCTTTTTTAAGCAACAAATATTATGGACAGGAACTCAGATGACAACAGGATTCAAAGGGATTCAGGCCTGTGTAGCAATGGATTCCTCTTTTTCCTGGCGTTGAAGCATTTGGGAGATAAGTAGGCATGTTTCAGTGGCTAGAGACAGTGTGATAGGGTCTTTATGCATGTAGTTGTTTTCTGTGAGGGTAAACACAAGAAAAAATGAAATAGAAAATTCAAACAGAATCTTTGTCTGAGTCAGACTCACAATATCAAAACAAGGAGGGAGGAAGAGAGAAAAGGATTGCTATAGGTATTATTCATGTGTAAGCTCTGCATCTTTGGAGTTTCAGATGCAAAAATCCAAAGTCTTGGACATACACTATCATTTTCAAGTCAGGAATGCAATTTTAAAGTGGCTATCAAGATGAAAGTCTTTACTGTAAAAATAACCCTGTAATTTCCAGCTCAAATCACAAGGGATAGATAAAGCAGGGCAACATGAGCAGCAGAATCAATTCAACTGTATTGCACTGCAAAAGATGGTGCTTTGTCAAATGCAGCGCCGAGCTGTCTATCGAGGGAAAAAGCAAATTGTCAATTCAAAATGCCACGTTTGAAGATTTTAGCCAGATTTTAGCAAGTAACAAATGGGGATGTCGAGGTGTGCTCAGACTGCCGATGTGGAGCAAGCTGTCAAACGCTGAGGGCTGAGTGACTGCAACCCAAGGACCCCATTCTTAATATTTCTCATGTTGAACCTGTCAGCTGAGCCTGCCTTTTGTGCAAGGCAGAAACCAATTGCTTCAGCCTTCGCCAGCTAGTATGATAGCAATCAACAGGATGACTCAGATATGAGGGCTGCTTATTAGACAATGCAGTGCTTTTTAGACTTCCTTGCATTGTAAGTCCAGGGGCTGCAGAACTGCTTGCATTGCTTGCTCCTTGCAGATGCTTTTTGCAGGGTCCCACAAAATGCTGAGGATGTGTAAACTCCTCCTGTACTCCAATCGAAATATTATTAATACAGCAATATTGATGCATATGGTGCTTTAGAAATGGTAAGAGGACAGGTCCCTGCATGGCTTTCAATTTAACTTTCAATATGGCGCAACAAGAGGGGAAAATGGGGAAGGGGAAAAATGGAGATAAGTGAAATGGAGAATATGGAGTGAAATAATGGGCTGAAGGCAGCACCTAAGCACTGCCTGACTCATACATCACAGACACATTGGACAACCACGATCAGTTATTTCAGGGCAATTGTTAGATTGTGAGCTCCAGCCTCCTCTTGTCTGGTCAAGACAAAAAGGACAACTGTATCAATACAGTGTTCCTGACATGGATCAAGATGTGTCAAGAGAAATTCTTCACTTGTTTCTAATGTTCCCTCAAAGTCTAGTTGGGAACTTTGGCATCGCTGCTAAAAATAAACTTTTGGTGCCTACTTTTAGTTAGCATGGTCTTCAAGCTTGTGTTTCTTCTAGAGCAACTTCACATGTTACAATAGCAAGGAGACATCACCATGTTCCCACTCTGGATCTTTTGAAGGGCATTCATATCTAAAACCATGTAGCAAATATTCCTGTGCTGCTGTGATTGACCAAGGTCCTCAGGAATATGTTTTATGGTATGTTTTGAGATACATAAACACATGTAAAACTTTATAAAACAGAGACTTGTGTTCACTGTAAAGTATAAATCACTTGTGTGCATGTGCAATCACATGCATTCTACATGTTGTGAATACATTTGAGGTTTGCGGATGGTACTCGTTGGCAGATGTGTAGTGTGCAACTCTCCTCAAATCCTGGAGTTAAGCTTTTGTTGAGAAATGCTTCTATAGTCACTGAACATGAGATGTAATGCTACTAGCTCCTGTGATCACAGTTTGCCTTCTTCAGTAGAATGGATTCTATGCCCATTTATATCTTGACAGACTGGAATTGGCCAATCATTTTGGGATTTACCCATAGCTTTTATAAGGATGCTATAAGTGATGGCTAGTACTCAGTCATTTACCTTTTTGAAGTAAGGAGTCCAAATATTTATCTTTTTGAAGTAAGGAGTCCAAATATATCTACCTAAACTCTTAAATTTTAACATAATTTGTGATGCTCTCCTTCAGGCATGCCCCATGCTAAGCCTTTATCTGTGCATACTGCATTGGCTAGCTGTGGGGTTCTGCTTAGGACTGGCTTCAAACCAGAAATCCAAGATGATTCAGTACAAATTAAAAATCTATTTATTAAACAGTTTGCCCTTAAAAATGGTCATATGAGGTTTTAGAACACTGCTCAGCTTGAGAAGAATTAATTCCAGATCTGTTTATCTCTGCTGTGACTTTTATTTAGCAACTTAATCCAATGTTGTTGAATTAATTATACTTCATACATTATAAAGGACTAAACTTATTAAATATATCTATATTTAGAAATGAAAAAGGAAGTACATAAAATTAGAAGAAACTCTCCCCAACCTCATTAAAATACATGTTGTTCTGCTGGTTTAGACCTTGGCCTTGGAATAATATCTATTACATCTGTACAGACATTCAGTGCTATTGGGACTGAATCAATAGCAGTGTAACAGCTCCTGTGCTGACTTGTCACACTTCCGTTCAATCCATTTGGTTTTGGTGGTAATATCCAGAAAGTAGAATACTACTCTTTGAAAAGATTTGGAACAGCAGAATCCAGACCAAAGTAATCAAATCCAACTATATTAAAGTCACCCTCAATGACGAACAAGGAGCTAGAGAAAAATCAATGCTAGATGATACGTGCAAAACTGGTCAGGAAAGAAAATGTATTGAAAAAGCTTCTATGGGGGAACTGCAGACAAAGAAGAATAAAAATAGTACTCCTGTCCTTTTAAGGGCTTTAATATTCAGCATGAAGTTTATTGCTAAGTGCATAAACAGCTTCTTGGTTACTGTAGTTAAAAATATGTCAAGAAGATTTTGGATGTACTTCCTTTGTTCTACTGCAACAGAGATTATTGGCTTTTGTGAGCAAGTGAAAAACAACACAACCCCCCCACAAGCCTGGGTAGAGGAAGAGCCAAAAGGACCAGTAGAGCGAAGCACTTCTCAAAGGTGCTGAAAACTCGAGTGTGGGAGTATAGTATTGTCAGGATCAGACCTCTAGTGACTATCTGGGTTCTCCAAGGCAACTGGCAAAGTTAAAGCTAAGAGAGTCTAAGGATCTCAAAAAGAGGCTCTTAATAGCTGGAGAATGTAGGCAATACTATCAGGCAGGCCAGGAGTAAATAGGAAACTGTGACTTCATTTTGTAAGAGTGATCCTTAAAATAGTTTACGCAAAAGATGTTTTACTCTGTCTGCCATGAAGTGGGTTTTTTAAGAAGTGACAGAGCATCCTGTGAGACTAATCCAAGAAAACGGGACTTGATTAAGCAAATAAACAAAGCACCAACACCACCACTGTTGAAAAACTACGCTGCCAGTGCCTTTGTGGACCTGGTTCATATGAGACACCATCCTACCATGGGCAGTGAACCACGATTCACTGTCATGTTACCCATGCCCAGCCCAGTTTATGCACCATGGCTTTCTGCATGTGAGATCCAAACCCACCCAATGTGGACAGTGGTGAACTCCAACTGATACACAGTAAAATTTGCGCACAGCCCCTGGCAAATAGGCAGCCAATCCCCTTATTAGCATTCCTAAAAATAAAACTGGCTTGGGGAAAAAAGCCACCTTGAAAACCCACGGTTTGTTTTATTCACAGTTGTGCTGTCTGAACCCAGATGACCAATCCCGCTGTGAGGAAAATCCTGCTCACTAGGCAAAAGTGGGGAAAAAACCTTATTGGGAAATTACAAAAGTGCATTCCAGCCGTTTTTTTCTGGGGAATTGAGTTTTTTGTGAGCTAGTTGTAAAAAAAATCTAGGTCCCCTTGAAAGGTGTTTTCAAAACACTGGGACACATAAAGCTGTATGTTCTGGCCCCAGGCCACCATCCCAGATGGCTGTCAATCACAGCAGGGAGAAATAACTTGGTACTGCCCAGTGCGCACAAGGTCCACTGGGAGACTGCCTGATGGACCAAAAGAAATGGGGAGGAGCAACCCAAAGTGGACCTGATTGCCTGCTGGGCACACTGTGGGCTATTCACAGTACACCCAACCCACCTTCACTTAGTACCAGGGTGGTTTGTTGTAAGGCTCTCCAGGTGATATACAGTAACACTCAGGTACAACACCTTTGACCATCAGCAAATAGACTTCTATTCATTTTATCAAAATTAATAGAAATAAAGTTGGTTTGTAACATCCAAAACAAGGTGGGTGCTAACTGAACACTTTTTACTCTACTTAAAAACACGCTGTATAATGAAATCCTGTCAATCATTTTCAACCAGATCTGTAGTTGCCAATCATTCTGATTGCCTGGATTTGGTCTTCCGACATCCAAGCACCCACTAATAAGTGCATTATTTTCCAGATACTAGCTGTACATGCCTTCGACTTCTGTTCCATTTTCTTTTTTATCTACCCTTTCACTTCTGTCTGTCTGTCTGTCTGTCTGTCTGTCTGTCTGTCTTGTTCCCTTATTTCTGGAAATGGTTATGAAGTGAAAGAATTAAGGAACTCACACCAGCAGTTGCTTGATGATTTTTAAGATAAAGGCCACAGTCCTGAGAATTTCAGAAAAGCACTAGGACTGTGCACAGACTGCTCTGCAAATTAATGTACCAGGCCTATTTGTGGGTGCTTGCGAAAAGGACTATGCATGCGAACAGAAAGGCAATACTTTGTTTCTGTAAGTAGCCTCTGAACACCATGAAACAGAGTTAGGTAAACTCTTTCCACATGGTAATAGCTAATCCCTCACTTGGAAATATGCCTCTTTGCAAGGCCTGTGTTTGCTGTGATTATTTCAGACACAAAAGAAAGACTTACCAGGCTATCTGCACTTGTAGCAATTAAAAATCACTTCCATTTAACTAAAGAAGAAAGGGCTTTTTAACTGAAAGGAGGTGGGTTCTTAGGCCAATCTGGGTGCCACAATGTATCTGTATAATACGTAAAATTAGGTCAGCTATTTAAAAACTTGGTCCTTACAACTTTCATTAATTTATTTATTTCAACCCTGTCAAACACAAGTACTATTGCTTCTTACTTAACCAGCATTTTCCTTCATTAAGAAAAGCAAACCAAAACAACTTACTTGATTGTATAGTCATGTTTTTACAGGGGCTCAGATCATTGTGGTTTTACAAATTCAGGTACAATTTCACTGCAACACGTTAAGGCTAATTCAGGATGACCCTGAATGATCCTGCCCAAATCAGGACCCATCTGAATCATCCGCATCCCCATCATCTTCATACAATCAGTGAGGCTGCACCTCAGGAGAACATGAGCTGCCCTGATGTTGCATAGTAACCTGAGCTGTCTGTTGAGAATCGCTGGGACATGTAGACTGTATTTAGCTGCACTTCCCCAAAGTGGAAGTTCTCAAAGAGCTGAAAGAGAAGAGACAGAAGAACTCATGAGATCCCAGACAAGCTTTCTTGCATTGGAGTTTTCTTGCAAAATAACATGAAATACATGTATGTCAAAAACATTTGAAGAGGAATTTCCACACTTGTCTCCCTTCCACACACATTTTAAAAAATCCCTCTTCTGAACAGATTTCATTTTCCTTCACCAATGATTAAATGTCATTGCAAGATAGCCATGTAAAAGCATCATGGGAGCTTTTAAAATGTAAGTTACCTATACAACACTAGAAACACTTTCGCTCTATCTGATCTAGATGGAAGAAAACTGACTGCAGCCATTAAAAGCTACTGTAAGCACTTAATGCCTGTAGTTTGAATATCTGTGTAGAAAAGAAGACTAATGGAGGTAAAAATGCATGCCTTTGTAAGTCTGAGTAGTTAAGAACCATATCTTAGATATTCCATCATGCAAACTGGTCAAGGGGTGCATATCAATAATGCTTCCTTTCTTGAAGGCCAGGGATAGTCAACATCTTTTCCTGAAGACATTTCTATTCTGCAAATACAAGTCTAGAAGTTGGACCTCTTTTTGGGTGATTAGGCTCTGTAAGAAATGGTGGCACATAAAAGTGCTTTGCAGTTGCAGAGCACATGCACTTGGAAACTAGGTGCTGGAGAGGGCCTACAGAACAACAGTAATGCTGTTACAATAAAAATCATACCTTGTTGCTTCTCCAAGTAGATCTTGGTCAAGGCATTATATGCAAAATGAAAAGACAGCCACAACAAAGGCGCTTTCCAGATCAATGATTCTTAGTGCTATCAGTCAAACTGTTCAGCTATCTTGTCTTTCTCTGAAGACATTTTTGATGGAAAGGAAACTGGTGGAAGAAGTGGTAGGAAAACCCAGCAGGGCCCCAAATGGAAGAGTGAACCTGCCTATAAAATTCCATCGGTGAGGCAAGGCAACTGCACAGTGAAAGCTTATCTGGAGGCTCCTTTTGAATGGATATGATCAGTTACTCCATTTGACAACTTCGTTATGAGTGAAAAAGTGGGTAGCATTTTTAAAGCACTTCACTTCTGAGGGCTGTCACAGGCCAAATGTAATTGCTTCACAGATTACCAGTTGGCCACATCTCTATTCCTCACATAGCACACCTTGTTTACACAGGATTAAGGAAAAGGAATAATGGAATCTTCCTTCCTTTCCCAGACTCTGGTAGATGGAAGTATGATTACGAAACACACTACATGAGGTCAATTACTATTTCCCCAGTAGATTTCAAGAGTGGGGTTGGCTCCTCTCTTTTTAGTGCATGGTGGCATCAAAGAAGATATGGACTATGGCACAGGTACCATCTTGAATTATGATTTAACCTTGGGGCCCACTCTTCATCTAACCCTGCCTACAATAGTCCTTTAATTTGGTTGGATGGTGTGTGTGTGTGTGTGTTTTGTTTGTTTTTTACTTTGGTGAGAGCTATTTTGTGATTCCCATAATACATTAAATTGAGTCTGGTTAATTCATGTAGGTTACCAGCCAGCACTCTGAAAGTTGCTAGGTTTGACCAGTTTTTCTCTAGATAAGAACAGTGAAACTAGACACAAAAGGGTCTCCTGTCCTGATTCTTTCAACAAAACCTTCAAGGGGACGAGAGAGAGAGAGAGAGAGAGGGAGAGGGAGAGGGAGAGAGAGAGAGAGTTGAAACACAGTTCACAAGGAAGATGCTTCAGTGATTAACAGTGTACAGGAGACAGATGGAAATATGACATCAGAATACATTATAAGGAGCCCAGTGATACTGTTTAGAAGAAATAACATGTTCAAGTGCTTTTCTCCATTCCATTAAGAAACAGGAAACTGGTCTGCCTTACAGTGCACACAAAGTCTTTGGAAAACCTTTCAACAAATATACTAATTTTGACCTCAGTTCAATGCTGCTTGTGCCAAGAATCAACAACGCCTAAGTAGTTTGGCTTCTCCATCAAAGAGATCTTAAAAACCATATTCCATCTGATTTATTTTTCATTTTGTATCTGTCCCTACAGACCACAGCTGAAGATGGACACATACAGCATTTCCTGCTATTAAGGAGTCCCAGTGCTTTTGAAAAATCTACAGCTTCATTAAGCCCTGTTTATCCATAGCGGACAAATCCATTGATTCTTCTGTGTCGAACCACTGAAATTCAACTATCCGCTTGGTAGTCATAATCTTGTATTTCTCCTCTTTCCAGAAACATACTGAGTTTTTCCTAGCAGAGATGATCTCAAATCAGTTCTCTATTGGCTTTGGCATTTGTTCTGTGTATGCTCCATGGCCCTCTTATATAAAGTAGAATTTGCCCAAGTGTGAATTTGACCCTATGAAAGTTTGCTAGGAATGCCTGTGGGAGCAAGAGAAATTGCACAGAGATGAGGACACTTCAAGAGACTTTGCAGCTACCCCAGCTCTTCATCGTATCAGCCTTGCTGCAAATTAAGTGGCTGGGACAGGTAGTGGCAAAAGGGAGAAGTCAGTAACTATGGTTAGTTGAGCAGAACGTATTGCAGGGTCTGCTGTGTTAGTGGACAGAAGGAATTTCAAAGCAGCTGAGTCTCCAAGGAGATGGGGCCTGACTAAAAAGGTATAGAGGCTTGAAACAAATAAACTGTGCCAAAAATATAAACTTTTGTTTCTCTGTTTATGTCCAACTTGTCTTTCAAGGAGCCAAGGCAGTGTTCATGATCTTCCTCTCTATTTTAACTTCACAACAATCTTATAAAGTAGATTAGGCTGTGAGTGTTCAAAGTCACCCAGTGAGCTTCATGACAGAGCGGAGACTAGAACTCGGATCTCTCCATTCCTTGTCCAGCACGTGAATCATTATACCATACAAGATCAAAGGCTCATTTTTGTTTAAATCCTTCTTCCTACTGTTCTACCATGTAAGAATGTAAGAGAATGAAATAATAAATGGGAATTGCATTGTACATACAGCTTGACTAAGTGTTATTTATCTAGCCAGTGTGTTTTAGATTAATATTGTTGCCCAAGATTCCACAGTATGGCACTCCAATGGTCAAGTGCAGTCCTTCATATGCCTAAATATTTGGCCACCTGGTCCTTCCAAACAGCACCGGAGGAATTCTAGTTATTCGTCCCACAGCACACTGGCAAAGATAACATTTAGCACACGAGTTTCACATGGCTGCACTGCAGGGCCACAGTGACTGTGGAGTCATATGAATCCACTCTCAGAGCTTTTCCTGTAAAATAGGAATTGCTAGAACATTGTTATGACAGTGCACAAATGTGTAGATTACATTTTTAAAAGATCTGGAACAACATGAAGGCACATAATTAATTTGGAATGATTAGAATTCTAGCAATCAAGATTTGGATAATGAAGAGTCGGCTTGTTTTTGTTCTTATTAAGCCCCGCAAGAGCCATTTTTCGGGGGGGGGGGGTTAAAAAACCATCATTTTAAATATAATATTTTAAAAATGGAACATTAAAATTACTAAAATTCTGTTTTATACAATTATAAAAATGCAATATAATCTGCAACGAGGCTTCAAAATGTATGTTCCCACATTCAAGATAAAAATATTTTATAGACAAGGAATGATTGTGTGTGGAGGGGATACTATTTTTAGATAAAATCCACTTTGAATGTATTGTTTTAGAGAATATTTTTGTAGACTACAGTAGTTTTGACAGGGTATTTTAATGCCAGAAATGGACTTTGAAAACTACCTAGTTTTATTTTCCATATATTTTAAATAAGTAGTTCTCACAGGTCCTTCTAATCCTAATCGTTCTGCTTTCTCAGCAAAGAAGTTGCTCCCTGCACTCTCTACAAAACAGGAAATTGTTCCTGTCTGGTTGTTTGTGAGCCTAAAGATGTTTTCAAGCAAGGAAAATTGAAGCATTTACTTGCAGTGGGGGAACGTTGCACTTTCGACTTCTAAGGGGATTATCTGCCTTGAAACAAGCTAGCACGGCCAGCAAAATGCATATATAGCATATTGAAAATATGTATTTGAAAAAACTAAAGCATTCTTTTGCAATACAGGCAGTTCCTCACAGACAAACTCGGTTGCATATAGTAACATGTTTCCTTTCCTTTGGAGGAGCTGCAAGGAACAAAAGAAGGCAGGGCAATGAAAATAAAACCAGCTATATTCTGTGATTGTGGCTGCAAAATGGAGAGCAAAGCTGACAGCCTCTCAGAGGTGTGAAACACCGACAGGCACAAAGAGAGGCAAAGCGTCTCTCTCCTCTCTTTCTAGAAGGGGTTCTTTTTAAAGCTGTGTGCTCTACCACATTGGTTTGTCACATGCAGCACTATGATATATTGCACCTGCATGAAGATCACTGTCTTCTCTGGGCCAGCAGGTAATTTCTGGGATCTGATTGCCATTTTGAAACTTGCATGCCTCCTGTACAGAATGCTGCAACCTATTCATGGGCTATGTATTCATGTTTCTACCTAGCATGGGAAGTCAGAAAATGCTGAATCTGCACACTTTCTCCAAAACTTTGTACAAACGTTCCATAAATCTAGGAGCCCTCCTTCCTCCTCCGTTTCCAATATGTAATAGATAGACTTTTGGAGGATTTGAATATTAATCCACCTGTGATCAATCTTGGCCCTTCTACAATGGTTCCAGTCTATGGTTTTTATTTTGAAAGCATCATTCGTTCATTTTGAATTAATTTTGTTCATGTGTAGTAAAGCAAAACTGCTGCATGACAGGTAGGTTTGTGATATCACAAACACTGGCCAGTTAGCATTCCACATGTGTGGTTTCTGCAGCAAGCACACAGAACCAGGGCTTGGGATAACCGTGCTTGCCAGAGTGGCTCTCCCAGCTGCACACAACATGGAGGCTACACTCAACATCTGGGCCCTTCCTCAGCGTGAAGGAGCTTTGGAGGGTACTAGCAAGGGGGGGGGGACGTCTTCTGTGGTGGCCCCCATCTATGAATGACCTCCCTATTGCAGCCCACCTGGCATGAGCTCTGCTTAGA